AATCCAAAAAAATGCTTCTCTTGACGAAGCCAGCGTTAGGCGGCGTAAATTATTGTTTTAGATGACTTGTAGGTTAAATTAAGTGTTTGCATGTTCTATTATTATAATATATATTATTTTTTTTATCTCTTTCTGTCTTCTGAAACGAACTTGTGTTCATCTTTTTGGACTTTAATTGGTTGTTATTTGTTAACTTGTATTCATTGGTTACGTGTTCAATGAGAAATGTAACTAATATATGTAAAGGAGTAGACCGTACTAAAACATCGCCGACCTTTTTAAGTATTGAATAAATGTTCATCAATCGGGGATAGAATAGGAAACTCATATATTACAAAACTTCATTTCTGATTGTTCAGATTTACTTGATTCAACGTCAAACAAATACATTGGTAAGGTAGGGCAATGGTGGACTCAAAAAAAGTTTCTAAGGGTATTCAATAATAACGTAATAAATTACATAGCCCAAAAGTAACACAATCGAATTGGTCGGGAGTGTGGTATTCGAATTTGAGATGTGCGAGGTCATAGGTTCGAACCCCGCTACACTAATTGGTGTTCCTGGAGGCACAACGAGTGCTGGAGACAAAGTCTCCCCCCAATATCGGGTGTTAGGCCTTGAAAATGGTGCTGATACAGGTACTCCCCACGTTTAGTAGACCTCGCTGCCACAAAGTGGCACGTGGGGTCGAGGTTCCTATGTAATAAAGAAAAAGTAATAAATTACATATATAATTCAACAAATGAATTATTCATGAAGTGCACTGCGTCATTATTTGGACAGCAAAACACACCGTGTTTTCGTGTGCAAAAAATTTCAAAAATGAAAAATAAATTACTTATTTGTGTTTCTGCAAGGAAGTGGTTAAGTACCATACATAGGCCTCTGTCCAACACCTCGAGTTATTGGGACCAACTGGTTTATGACATGATATCAGAGTCTGGTTTGTCCTTGAGGTCACGTGTTCAAGTGCTCACGACTCCCAATATTAACAACTGTCTTTAAGCCCATGAGTTGGTTTTCGTTTGAGTGAGGGAGCATTGGGTCAAGTAAAATAGGATTTTATTTTCAGGAAAAATGCAGGAGAAGTAGTGAAGTGAATTGGAATTATAAATTAAATTAATAGATATGAAACTGATTTCAGTTCGTAAATAGAATTAGTAATAATAACTATTTATTTTTTGATTTTATAACAACCTTTAGTTTTTAGTTCAAAAGTAATTAATTAGAAATTCTAAAGCTTATCAATTGGTAATTGGTTCCAATACAAAGATCACTAAAATAAATTTTCCATCAATTCTTTTGTTCTAAACTTAAAGCCAAGGTTTGTCAATTGACAATACTTGATCCACTGTCAGTCCGTTAATTGACTTTAGTATATCTTGATTATCTCGTTCAATACTAAGTATCTTTTGGCAAAATTAAAAAAAGATCCACTGTCGGTCCGCCACTGCGGAAGGGTGTCGAGAGGAAGGTGTGGTAGTTTCCTTATTTTTTACAGCCTTTCACGTATCCCAAAGACGAGGAAAAACTTTTTTTTACTTGTCAAAGACTGCCTTTTCTAATCTCTCATGTTTTTAATCGGGTTATACCTCTTTCGTTGTAACTCGAAATTTAAAAAGGTTGCATAAAAATGACGCATTAAATAAGATCTATACAATGATATCGTTGTTGCGATGTTTTGAGAAAAAAATTAGCGCTTCAAAATACATGTTGGTTACAGTATTATTAGTTATCAATATTATATCTACATATCATGATCTTAACAATATGATAATGCTAACTGCACATCATGCTAATATCATAATATGTCAGTGATACGATGTTAGTTAATATATTACTATTATCTATATTATTCATTATATATCTTATTATATATATGTTTTTATTAGCACACATTTGACAGGCTAAGTTATAATAGATATGGGATTGGTAAATAATATAATATCCTAATCCTTAACTTTTCAAGGAATCCTTCATCGGTAGTTGTGAATGACTGATTTTTTCCAATCTTTTTTACCCCAAGACAACATCTAGAACTTACTATCCTCTTGACACTGTCATCAAATTATTTTGTCAAACATAAGACATCTTACCAGCATCATATCACAACCTGAATTTTTTTTGTTAAAAAAACAAAATGGATATCATCTTGTAGAGTATAAAAACAACTAAACCAATCAAAAAAGAAAAAAAACAAAACAAAAACTATCGGGTCCCACCTACCCCTTCCGCTTTTCCCCTCCTCCATTTTTCCTCTAGTGAAGGGAAAACCCTACCACTTTTTCCTTTTTTTCCTCCTCTATTGTGAGATTGTTCATCCCTTTTTCTAGGGCTGGCTATTTGGTCCGAGCTATTTGGTTTTACCTGAAACCGGACAGACCGAAACTGGATAACAAACAATCCAATCCAATCTTCAGGCTTAGATTTGAGGTAAAAAACCGTTTGAGACGGATCAAAAACCGGATAAAGACCGAATAAGATAGCCCAACACCCAAAACTTAACCAACTCCTCACTCTTTGAGTCCTTAGGCCACTCAAATTCCCACAAGTTCAATCTAAAATCAAGACCGAATTGGGACCGGAGCGAGTCAAGACCAGACCGGATCAAGACCGGATTGTATCCAATCTAATCTTTGGTCCTTATATGCCTGGAAAAAACCGGACTGCAACCCGATCAATTCGGGCCAATTTAACAGGACCGGACCGTATAGCCACCCCTACCATTTTCTCTCTTTTTCCATCTTGTTGTGGGTAGTCTTATTGGTAACTACTTTGATCATGTGCAATTCGTAAAGTTAAAATTTTATGAATTAAATATAATTTATTGCCATCTAAATCTTATTTCGATTCACAATCTGCAGACATAAAACGCGAAATATGTAGTATAGTGAGATTTAACTTGTAGCTTTATTAAATTGTACAACACTTATACAAAGTAGAAACCACCAACTACTCGACCGATTTCCAAATCTGGGAATAGCTTGGAAAATATCAAACTTGAGTTCGTGAAGGAGGAGTCGTTGGCGTAGTTCCATCTTTGCCACACACGTGTCAGCAGATGATTGATTATTGACTATGAGATGATTGGTTAGCTGAACAAATCCGTCCCAATTGTGCGATTCCTAGTTTACCCTTCACTTCGAACGCGCTCTCGTGGAATTATAGCAGCTATGCAATCGATAAAACAGTAACTAAATCCAATTGTGCAACAATATTCTACAAAATATTGGCTAATAAAGACAAAATTGAAAGTCCAATTATCATTGTAATTTACCAATCTACAATACTGAGTTGTAGAATATTCAGACGGTTCAACTTAGAGTACTTTTTAATGAAGAATTTTTTTTATCTAGATCATTAATTAAATCATATTTAAGATATAGTATTATATATTAGCAGTCTCAGTTTAAAATTCTATAGATTCAAATCTGAAATTAATTTATCAAAAATTATAATTAACCACTCTCTGATTTGTCAAGGTACAAAAAAGTGCATATAACGATCATATCACTTAAAGTACTGCATACTCCAAAAATGCACTAGTGATTAGATGTTTTCTTAAGAAGGTGATTTCAAGAATGAGCGAATTCTTAGATGTATTTTGTTAGAAAGGACTTTCAAAGTATAATTGTTTCCATGATTTAGTATACGAGTTACACTTTTATGGAGAGCTAAAGTTAAATGCTACCAGCCACGATTAAATGGTAGGAGAATGGAGATAGTATTGCATATTTTATGGGGAATAAAAATAAAGGGATATGTAAAATTCATAATTAGAGGTTTGGGGGGGGGGGGGGGGATTACCGTAATATTTCTAGAGTACTTTGATTTAGTAGGTTAGAAGTTTTTGAACTATTATAGACTACAATATAGGATTTTTTGGATGATAATGATGTATTTTTGGAGCATACTAATAATAAGATATCTATACGTAGAACATAAATTAAATCGAGCTTAGCGTATGATACTATACCATAAACTCTAATGAATAAACTTTTATGTTACGATTCTTAAACTAAAACCCGATTATCAAGTTAATAAAAATAATAATTGAGGATTCTATTGATTTCGAAGTACAACGAAGTATATACAATGTATTCAACGAAAAAAAAAAAGTATATACAATGATCAGATCACTTAGAGTCTGGTATACTCCAGGAGTACACTAGTCGTTAGAATTTTTTTTATATATAGTTGTTACTTGTTAGCCTTAAGGTTGGAACGCATAGTATGAAGTGTCAGAAAATAATATTAGATCTATAATTACATTTCTTCTCAATAAATCGAGTTACTAAGATCAAACAGTTTATAACATGGTATCAGAGCCTTTAATTACACGGAGGTCTTATGTTTGAATATCGACATTTCCCAATGTTAAACCCATTTAACCGAATTATGATATATCGAAACAATAGATCGTTTTTATCTTCCGCTCTTATGTGTGTTACTATCAAAATTTTCAATAACAAGCACATTGTTGAACTAATAAATGAATGCAATTGAAAGAAGTTCAAATAATTATCCACGTCAGTTCTATTCACTTTTTTGTCCGTATATATCCGTATCACCTTCTACCACCATTGTATCATATGGTATAAATCATTGAAATGTACTCGTGAAACTATAGTTTTTTGTTCTTGGTTTAGTATATGAGTTACAGTTAAAATTAAAATGAATGAAATCATTGAAGTGTACTCGTTACATTTTACTGAGTGAATAGTGAACAGAATTTAATAAGAAAAAAACATTACAAATCTGCAATTGGGCAATTGCGCAGGAAAATAAGGGGCAAAAGGGGAACAAAAATAAAATAACGTAAAATACCAAACAAGAAAAAGAAAGTGGAGAAATATGGGGTGAAAAGAGTGGGTGGAAGGTTGCCGCGTAAAGGAATGGAGATTCCATGTGGTGTGGGTCTTGGCCACCACCAAAGCCAGATCGCCATGTCCTTCACAAATTCAAACCACCCAGCCCTTTTCCCTTTCCCTATATATACATCGCTGCTTCGCCGTCAAACTTTGCTTCCGCATAATTAATTCACACCTTCACCTCCTCTCTCTCTCTCTCTCTCGCCTTTTCTGCGCAAGACAACCCGCCAGGCCTTCTGCGCTAGATTCTTGGTACTCCAAGCAAAATCCCCCCATCTCCTCCTCTGCCTAGAATTGAGAAACCTTAAAAACGTAGAGTAAAAAATGAAAAAATCCGGGCTTTTCGCTGCATCCGTCGCCGCTGCCTCTGCAACTGCCATCTCTGCGTCCTCATCTCCTCCTCCTTCTCGCCATCCCCCAAAGGTAAACCCCTTCTCTGGATACTCTGTTTTTCCCTCCCCTGTTTCCTGTTCTAGTTTCAAATTCCCGATGGACAAGATTTTCTGGTCCTAGACCATGGTGTGATCGCTTAAAACTTTTTTGTACCCTCTTTGCCCTTCTGGGTATTTCGACGTTACCCCCTAGGGTTCCTCTTTGATTCTGGGTTTGATTTGGATTTTGCCTCTGTTGTTTTGCTGACTCTGTTTTTTCCCCTTTCATTCCTTGTTATCAGGAGGGTGCTTCGAACAACGATCAACAGCAGAAGAGGACGGCAGCTCCGGCAGCGGATAAGTTTGCTCCGAGATTTGATGGGCTGAGGTTCATCGAAACGCTGATTACTGCTCATCGGTGAACATAAAGATGAGAAAGTATTTGTAGATTTCATTCATGCTGCTTCCTCTCTTTCTGGGGATTCGAAAAAGAAAAAGGCAGCTGATTCTCAAACACAGCCCGCCTAATCATTTCTGGTTTGATTACCCACGAATTAAACAGTAACATAATTTTTGACTTGTTTTTTTTTTTTCCTATTAGTTTTCAGTTTCTTATAATTTGCCGCCCCTTTCCAGAATTGTGATAAGCTTTAACAGAGCAGGAAAGGAGAATTGGAATATTATTTGCACAAATTTAGTAGTTTAATGATATAGATGCGGCTGAATCGGAACTTGTCTTTCTTTCTCGTCTCTTTTCTCCATTATTTGTATACTTTACGCGAAGACGGCCTGATCCTTGAATATTGTTAGGTCAGTGAGGCCCCTCTTTCAGCCACATGCTAGGAAAGGCTACATGATTGGTGGTTGGATGGGAAGCCATTAAGATTGGTTACCCATACCCATGTTGACTCGCACGAATCTACACAACAAATTAATTTCAACTAGAGCCCAAGTTTTTAAATTCTAACCGGGTGCAGTATAAAGCAAGTATTTAAACTATTAACCCGGGCTGATCCATGTACCCTTACTTCAATTGCTTAGGTTGTTACCTAGCAAACAACTTTTGGGTTTAGAGCTAATGAAACTACAAATTAAACAAGCAAAGAAAAATAAATAAAGGAAAATTCTAACTAAGGGAGCTTCACACAGGAGTTGATTCCCCCTAACTAGCTATCGTGACTCGTTGGATTGAAACGATTGCTATGGGCAAGGTAATCGCGAACCGCAGAGGGATGCATATATGGTTGCAGACCACAATCTCAATTGCTAAACCGAGGTAAACATTATGGTCATGTCACTCGGCCCTCTCGGTTTAAGCAATCGGTGGTTGACTTACTCTCTCACTCAACTCAAGGGTCGGACGGTTTAATCGCGCTTAACCAATTTGCTTAATTCAACATTGAGGTTTGCCCTAAATTAACCTAGTTAGATGGCATAAAAAGATAAAGGAAAACCAACTCGATTGAGTCTCCCTTGGAAGGGAGATTTTCCTCTCTAAAATAGGTTAAAGTGGCTAATTAGATTGCAAAGCACCAACATGCACAAACCTAAGGATGCTAAGCACAAAACATGCACAATCCTTAGGTTGCTAAGCACAAGCATGCACAATCAACATGAATAATATCTCAATCATTGGTTTAAACAATACCCATAAACAATCATTCAATCTAAACAAGTAATTACAAAGTATTAGTTAGTGATCTACAACACCGAAGAGAATAGAGTGAGTTTCTAGAGAGAGAGATAGAGAGGGAGGGATTACAAGTTTGAGCTCTAGATCTTCTTCTTCTTCTTCTTGGCTTGAATCTCCACCCAAGCCTCCAATAGTACTCCATGATCACTCTAGCACTCTCTCTCTCTCTCTCTCTCTCTCACTCACTAGAACTCCCCTTTGGTGTTTTTGGGCAAACCCTAGAGAAAGAAACCAATTCTTCTCCAAAACCAGCTCCCCATTTCTCTCTCCCTGTTGTTGTCTTCATATTTGCCCGAAAGCGATTAGTTCATGGACGCGTTGGCCAGTTCATGGTCGTGAACACCTAAACGCGTCTGTGAACTCAGTCGTCTCCAAAACGCACCGCCTTGATTCCTGGGTTCTCGGTCAATGGCCACAGTTCACGGTCTTAGAGACCGTGAACTGCCTTGTCGTTAGTAACTTCAGGAACCTCGCTGGACGCCTCGGTGTTCACGGTTTGTGGTCAAAGTTCACGGTCTTAGGAGACCGTGAACTGCCTCGTCTGGCCGTGAACTGCGGTTGTTTCCTCCAAATAGTGACTTCGTACTTTTCTTCGGTTTTTGCACTTTTTGACATCCAATCATCCCAAAATTCGACCTCAACCCTTCCACACGTGCTAGGACTTGAAATGTATCAAAACAAACACAACCTAGCGTGAAATATGTCGATGAATGATGAAATACTAAGTTAAACGAATAAGAAATGAGGGGTAAAATGTGTACATTTGGGCCCCAATCACACCCCCACACTTAGACGTTTGCTTGTCCCCAAGCAAACCAAGTACAAAACAAGGTAAGCTTACAACTTCTTTTTCAACACAATTTTTGGTGCATGTCATAGGGCACAAGACGAATGAATCACAATGGTTATTTGACACCGACCTATGGACAAAAACAAAGCAATCTTGGCAACCACCACAAAAGACATTCAACTGTATTAAGATTGTGCAAAAAAAGAGTTCTCACATTATTCATCAACCAACACACAACATGCCTCGACAACTCACCAATCACAGTTACTCATGCATGAAGATCACATCATAGGAACGAACGATCAAGCAACCTAGGTCCTCACCGGGGTAAAAGAAATGAACAAAACATGATGAAGAATCGCACTCTCGACCAGTGGGGTTAGGACCATTTGATGCGAAATATGTGCATATTCACGCTCAATCCTAACATCCCTTTACCATGACGATAGACTCTAAATGTTAGAGCTCACAAGATGGGTGTCGTTGCTAGCTTGTCCGGAGTTCTTAGACATAGGTTCAAATGACTGACTAGGGGTCTAGGACATGGGAAAAGGCTTTTTGGGTGATGGCAAACATAGCACAAGGTTCCACATTTTCATCCTAAAACCACAAAAGGTTCTAAGGTTTCGATTAGAACCCTCTCATATACTCAATGGCCACAACCAATTACCAAACCATTCGCAACAATCTTTCTTGCTACCTTTGCTATTCAATTTCAAGCACAAGATTGTGGTAGGCAAACAACAAGTAAGTGTTCCTAAAGCTTGCATGCTAAGCAACACTTCTAAGAGCATGTTCAACATTTATTATATTTTTGGTGCCCACTCTCTTTTCTTCTTTGCCCTCTTATTGATCTTTTTTTTTTTGCTTATCTTTTCTTTGGGGCTACAGAGAGTTATAAACATGCCACATTTTTAACTTAAGGAACAATGCTCACTTTGAAAAACTACCTCCACACTCACTTCACCTCTTAGCAAAACCATACACAAATCACTCATGTGAAACCTCATTTAAGCTCAAATGGTATGCATGGAGCTTCCAAACACAAGGGTGACTGGATAACGGTGTAGACACGAAGAAAGTAGGGTCGTTCTATCTAAATCAATCAAGCTCAAGTAGCAAGAGCTACCTAAAACGAGAGAGACCCTAAGACACATGGCTCAAAAGGGTTGACTAGGGGATAATGAGATCGGAACGGTCAACATTTGGGTCGTGGACTAACCCTATGCCTCCATCTTCCTCGCTAGCAACAACGTGAATGCTACACATCATGTAAAGAGGGAACTATCGCACAAGAACGAAACGAACGACACAAGTCTCACGTGGCTACCTAGGTGCTTAATCATTCGTTCTAACTCCCTAAAGTCGATGCATAGGCAACTGTGAAAAGCAAGTAACCGATTCAAAAAATCTATCGGTTCACAAACACATGAGAAATGAACCTATGCACAAATCTAATACATGTCTTAGTCATCGTCATAGGTTGCACACAATCACAAGCAAATCATCCATAGACCATGCTAATAACCACGAGATTCAAAACAAATACCACAGGATGCCACTATGAGCATGCAAATGTAGAAGTTGTTATGCTTGGAGCCCTCAAATTGTAAAAATTTGGACACACATCTAGGCTCCAAAGCATTCAAAATCATACCAATCATTCACACCAACATGCATAATGGACTACCCCCCCCCCCCCCCCCCACACTCAAGCTCGACATTGCCCTCAATGGCGTAAAAGAAGGGGATAGAATGATGTTACCGGTCAAGTTGTGAATGTTTGTGCTCGGGAGTGGAGGGCGGTTGAGCTCCGAAAGAGCGTGGTCATGTCCAAAACACCACCAAAATCTCTTCAATGGTCTTCTTATTGGAGCGGAAAGTAAACAAACCGATGGTAGATGGGTTGCCTCCGACCAAGCGCTTCTTTAAAGTTGAGGTTATCATCGGTGAGGTGAAATATAAACCCACGAGCATTGGACGAATCCATGATTGAGGGCTCGTGAACTTGATCGACTTTGAGGCTCCACCCACGAGACCTCTCCTTCTCCTTCTTTCTCTTTGCCCCACACCATGTAGTGCATCATTGATTTACCACCATCGCATCCACCAAGAGAGATCGCCGATGGTTATATTGTTTACTTTCTACACTCTTTTTCTTAAAATTGAATAACAAATGTAGCAAGAAGGTATGCGTGACATGGTTTGGTGATTGGTTGTGGTTTGGAATGGAGGGAAGTGTGGTTTTTGGTCGAAGCTAGTGGCCATTGCTTGTAGAAGAAGGTTCTAGTCAAAACCATAAAATCTTATTTTTGTTTTAGGTCGAAGATGTGGAACCTCATGTTATGTTTGCCACAACTCAAAAAGCCTTTTCCTGTTCCTAGACCCTAATCAGTCATTTGAACTTGTGTCTAAGACCTCCGGACAAGCTAGCAATGACACCCATCTTGTGAGCTCAAACATTTAGAGGTTATCGTCATGGTAAAGGGACGTTAGGATTGAGCGTGAATATGCACATCTTTTGCATCAAATGGTCCAGACCCCACTGGTCGAGAGTGAGTAATTCATTCATCATGTTTTGTTCATTTCTCATAGCCCGGTGAGGACCTAGGTTGCTCGATCATTCGTTCCAATGATGTGATCTTCATACATTAGTGATTGTGATTGGTGAGTTGTCAAAACAAGTTATGTATTGTTTGATGAATAATGTGAGAACCCTTCATTTGCACAATCTTAATATAGTTGAATGTCGTTTGTGGTGGTTGCCATGATTACTTTATTTTTGTCCATAGGTAGGTGTCAAATAACCATTGTGATTCGTTCGTTTTGGGCCCTATGACATGCCCCAAAAAAAAATTTGTTGAAAAATAAGTAGTAAGCTTACCTTGTTTTGTACTTAGTTTGCTTGGGGACAAGCAAACGTTCAAGTGTGGGGGTGTGATTCGGGTCCAATAGTACACATTTTACCCTTCATTTCTTGTTCGTTTTGCTTAGTAGATCACTCTACCTTGACCTATTTTACACTAGGTTGTGCTTGTTTTGTTACATTTCAGGTCCTAACACGTGTGAGAAGGTCGAGGACGAGTTTCGGGTCGATTGGAGGTCGAAAAGCCCGAAAACTTGAAGAAAAGTCCAAAACTGTTGCACGTCTCACTGGAGTCCTGTCAGTTCATGGTCACGCGATCATGAACTTCAGTTCCAGACCGTGAAGAGCTGTAATGAAACGACACATTTCTGGCAGAGATCACAGTCCAGGCTTTGAGTTCACGACCGTGAACTGGGATCGTGAAATGATGTCGATTTGGGCATAAAAGGCAGCAGCAGAAGGAAGAAAAGGGAGAGCTGATTTTTGGAAGAGAATTTGATTCTCTCTCTAGGGTTTCGACCCAAAACCCCAAAGGGGAGTTCTAGTGAGTGAGAGAGGGTGCTTGAGTGATCTTGGATCTTTATTGGAGGCTTAGGTTGATCTTGAAGACAATGATTCAAGCCTAGAAAAAGAAGATCTTGGGCTCCAATTTGTAGAATCTCTCTTCTCTCTCTA